TAAAAAGGGGAAAAAATAGCTAAAAGTAGAATACCTGTGGATGCTGTCCTTCAAACAAATAGTATGCTAGGCTGGGAAGACAAGAGGGCTTCCAATCAAAGTTTTGTAGGGAAAACTGGAAAGAACAGTGAGGGCATCAAAGTCGGGACAAGAGGAATAGGCACGGAAAAGGAGAGTTCAGAAAGGACTGTGCAGACATTGTTTATAAAGGAGATTTAGGGTATTCTTTAAGATTAAGGAAATATGGGACTTGTCTTAATTGTTGCCATCACTGGGAGAATGTTGGCTGGGTGGATAAAATGAACTGCTAAAAAATCTGCAGGTGGGAAAACCTACTACATGCCTGAGACAGGTGCACTGTTCTTTGCTTATAGCTAAAGTCACTCTTAATAATAAACTTTTCTGCCTAAAAGGTTATCAAACATAGGGTGTTTTTGTTTTTGTGAATTATCATACATTAGTTCCCAACATCTGTATCAAAGTTAAAAATAACTGGAGATATTAGCATATCTCATTTAGCACTGTAAATAGTTGTTGTCAATGTAATAATGCTTGTTCTCTTAGAAGACTAGTTGTTTTGTCAAATACTTTGGAGAACAAAAAAGGCCAAATTTGCAACAAGGAAACAAAAGTGGGTGGGTTAAAGGAGTTGGCTTCAGTCACAAAGGAGTGAGATATTCTGTTTTAACTTCCTAATCTCACCTATTTCTGCCACATCAATGTATCGCAAATCTTAACCTTTTCTAACTGGGGTAGATAAGAACGAATATTAAAGAATTTCATTTTTAATAGTTCTATTTTAAAATAAGCCTATATGTATTCCTGATGGAAATTTCCAGCTTTCAAAGGTCTAAATGTACAGTAACCTGTTAAACTTGTGTGCTACATTAAAACATTGATATTGCAGAGTTTTAGAAGAAAGTCAAGTGACTGAATCAGGAGAAACACTTATCATCTCAAACACTTTAAACTTGAGATTGATCAAGTGTTGAAAACCTCTTGACAGATCAGCTTCTGGATGTGGAGGAGATAGTATGTTCTCGATTTCAGTTTATATCAGTTAGAGCTCAAATATTGTCAGTTGTAAAACTAGATACATGCTTTCCATCTTCAGCTCTTTCCAAGTAAAGAAACTAGCTGTAAAATCACTGAAGGTCACAATGACTCCATTTATGTGACTACAGAAATTTGTTAAACTACAGAAGTAGTTAAGAGTCCCTTTTAAAAACGAAACCTGTGTTGATTACTACTTCACGTCCTGGTAGCCATTACCCTCTACATGTTATATTTGCATTATGTCAATCTGTGTCTAAAATGAAGAGCATAAGTATTAGCTATTAAAGAACACTACCAATTGATATTTTGCAGTCTGAAAGTTTTGTGCTGTCTGTGCCAGTGCACGCCTAGGAAAGACAGTAAAACAACGTGGCAAATGCGTGGTGACGGTTACCGCTGGCATTCCTCCAGCCACTAGTTATTTGTGGCTCAAGGACTTGGAGTTGCAGACAGAATTTTCATATTTAATGCAAATGGATTTTTCTCTTTGTGTTCAATAGTGAAATCTAACACTTAAGGATATTAACAAATGTGTTAAGCTGTGTAATTGCTTGAATGAGCAATGTTACGTTGTTAGATAACAGAAATAAAGAAACCCTGTTCCACCTAATCTGTGCATAGTTGCCAACCAGGGAGAATGGACATTTCTTATGTTTTTCCTTCCCAGTTATTTGCTTAAGGCAAAGCTGAAATCAACAATTTAAAGCAGGACCAGAACTTGCTCCTTGAAGTAAATCACTTCTGTGCAGGGTAGATAACTGGAATTAAATGTACTTATATGGAGGTAATTGGTTTATGATTACACTTTAATGTGTTAATATAGTTGTTAAGTCATGGTTGATGAAATGAGTCTTTCTGTGATATTGATTATTAATATCAGCCACTCTGGGGAGCTTTTTTCCTTACTTCTTAGCATATTTTTTAAATAAAGCACTACTTAAGCTTTATTGAAGGAAACAGTGTAGCATCAAACTCAACTCTGCAGTGTACTTGTAACTTTCAAAAAAAATAGTCAATTTCAGTGCACACTCAGTTTCAATCACAAAAATTTATTAATGTATCTTAAAATGAATGCTAAGAATCAAATTACATTTTTTTTAGTATCTGTTTCTGAAACCACTCTTTGAATTTATTATTGATTGTTCTTTATTAATATTTCAGTATTTTATTTTGAGATTATGCCATATTTACACAATTTAAGGTGTCTTTTAAAAAATAACAACAAATAACAAATTAAGCCTTGGGTACATCCAATAAAAAGAAAAAAAAATCTGAAATTTGCACTTATTAAAGTGGCTTTTGCATTCCATTAGCCATCTTTTCCATTCATGCATCAGTCTGTTAGAAGACAAAAATAGCAAATGCTCATGGATTAGCCTGTGTTCTTGTTTGTGGTGGTTTATCTTAGTCTTGAACTGAGAAACAGTGGATAAGGAGTCTGAATCACCATTAGCTGGAAGAAAGCCCATGTCCTGGTTCTGACAGTGAGAAAAAAGCATCCTTCATGCACATCACATCCCTGCAGCCATCTGTAAGTGCAGCACGGCATCAGGGATTCTTATCGTTCTGAAAACTTGGAGGCTGATACTCTTGACAATCTCCGAGTATAATGCCGGCAAAAAGTGTTTCCCTGGGAAGGCTTACCCCTTCCTGTTTAGCAGTGCTTTTGTCTTTTCTGGATGAAGCAAATACTCTGTTGAGGGTGTTGAAAACATGGAAAATCACTGTCAGTATTGCTGAAGGTGGTGTATGTGTTTAGTTCTCTGGTACTTTGTATTAATTGGAATAGCCGTATAGGCTTTCTAGGCTACCGTGAGAAGTGGTATAATTATACTAATAATGAGTATATTTAGAAAAATAATGCAGTTTTATCTAAAGATTTCCTCTGTTTATGTTACACTGTTATGAAAGGGGAGTGGGGTCAAGTTTGAAAAAAAGATTTTTCAGAATTAATCGCATTTCAATGTGCCATGGAAATAAACTAGTGAAAATAAAAATTCAATTTCAGGTGCTTGTGTAGACCACTTACAGGTGTCGGTTACAGCAGAAGTCAGTTTTCTGCGTCTCTTCATAAATTAGTTTTATGGTAGTTATTCTGTGTCTTTGTATGATGTCGGTGAGTTAAGTAATGTGTTGCAAAGTTCTGAGAACAGCTGTTGCTTGCAGGGTTCTGGTGGTGCTGGCTACATCCTGTTGAACTTAGGAATCAATTTTACCAGTCTTAAATCTCACGCTTTAAATATTTTGGGTTTTTTTTTTAGGACACCCTTCATGTTTGAAGTTCTGTCCTGAATTAACAACAAATGTGAAGGCCTTAAGATGGCAGTGTATTGAATGCAAGACATGCAGTGCATGTAGGATCCAAGGCAAAAATGCAGTAAGTCAAACTGTTGGCTGTTACTTGACTTTTTATTGTTTAATGTAGCTCTACACTTAGCACATATACAAATGCAAATCACTGATGTATAACTTAAAGCAATGCTGTATTAAGTCTTTTTTTTCCCTCTTCCTCCTCCCCCACCTTCAGGATAACATGCTTTTTTGCGACTCATGTGATAGAGGGTTCCACATGGAGTGCTGTGACCCACCACTTTCCCGAATGCCAAAAGGTGATAATAAAAATCCATTCTTTGAAAATAGTTTCATTCACACTTTTTTCTCATATGAAGTGATCCGTAGCTCTTGAGCATGCTAAGTATTTTTGAATTGGTAAACAGTGTGATTGCATTCATGTCAAAGCCAAATTTACTTTTCTTTATTTGAGATTTTTTTCCTCAGGAAATAGTAGGATCTTTCTAGTCAGTTGGCCAGGTAAAATCACTGTGTATTGAGTTGTTAGTGTATTGAAGGGGACGTTTTATGAAGGCTGTTGAAACACTGGGAGTGTATGCACTGACAAATCCTTAGAGCACGTGCCCTTTGTAAGAGCAATCAAAAAAAGACAAACAAAACACCTGTGTGTTCAGGGTCTCTAATCTCTAGAGTTCTGATACACAGCACCTCTCACTTCTGTTCTTACATCTTTATGGCTTTCCTGAAGTTACACTAAAGTTACACTAAAGACTTCTTTCAGCTTTTTTTTTTTTTTTAATTTTTTCCCTAACTCCACAGCCTTATAAATAAATAAATGTTCAGACGTGGTCATCTGTCCTTAAAAGGATGCCAAATTCAAGTCCTTGTGTATTAAGCTAAACACACCTAGGTGTAATCTGGTAGTGTACTGTAGTCTAGATTGCTTTTGAACACATGCAGTTTTTTCTTTTCCTTGTCTTAACTCTATCTGAAGAAAGTTCTAGGTAGTATAAGGAGGGATAAGCTACCACTTTGCTTTCAGAAGTTTCAAATCTGGGTAGAAATGGACCACTTTTCTCTGACCACTTCCCTGTCTTCTGTTCATAAGATAAATTGTTGACCTTGTGTAGTTAGCATGTATCTTGGCAGACACCTGCAGTACAGATTAAATACATTGTGTACAATTAAACTTTTTTTTCCTTTATATAGGGATGTGGATTTGCCAGGTCTGTAGACCAAAGAAGAAAGGGAGAAAGCTACTTCATGAGAAAGCTGCCCAGATAAGGCGACGATATGCAAAACCTATTGGACGACCGAAAAATAAACTAAAGCAACGAATGTTGTAGGTTTCTATTAAATATATTCTTTTTTCATGTTTATGAGGATGTAGTCAGATAGGAGTTAGGTGCAGGTTCCACTACAGTTTTTAACTGTATTTCAAGCTGTGGAAAGTAGGTAACGAATATTCTATTATATGCCTTTCAGCCTAATAACTTCAAAGACCTGTTCAAAAGTTGTATAAAAATAACTTTATTAGTTAATACCACCTCACAAAAGCCATTCCAAAAAGGAAGCTTTGTAGGTTACAAGTAAGACAGACGTTCTTGGTTTAGGGGTTCTCTGGAAAAAAATATTACTTGAATTCTGCTGTTAAGCTTCCACTGGTTACTAGGCAAAGAAGTTGCAGTTCCTCTTGCTTCTCAGGAATGTTTACCTAGGACAAGAGAGTGCTGTAATTCTTTTGACATCTGTCTTTCTGGGGAACACTGTCATTGGACATCTTAAGGCTTGGTTGGAGGATTGCTTAAGTAGCATTTAAACACTGAGTTGCCATTAGACTGTTACTCAGGAACAGATTCTATGTTACCTCCAGTAGCAGGTTGCCCTGCATCACATGTTCCTATCCACACACACCTTTCTCCTCCTATTTAACTGTTTGGCCATGTTGCCACAGCAGCTAAAAAGCTTTCCAACTCTACTCCTCATTCTGTCACATTGCTGTTACCCAGCCATTTTTTTCTGTAGTCTGAACACCTATCTAGTGTTCTTCAGAGCTTCACATCAGCTGCTGTAAAACTTTGCGTTATGCAGAATAAGGATTTCTGGAGCCAGTGAGCCCAACATGTAATAATAAAATGAAAAAAAAATATACTCAGAGTATGAGAGTACAGTACACTAATCAAATTGATGTGCTTGGTGCTGTGCAGCTTGCTGTGTTCTCTTTCCCCTCTCTCTCTGCCAGGATCTGTTGTCTTGCCTTTGGTCCTTGGACTGAAGTTCAGTGTATGTTGTTCTAGGAAAGTAATACAGGACAAGGATGAAGTGTGGCACTATGTGAAAGTAAAAGATTGTACTTGTAGTGGCTCTTAAGAGCATGCTCTTAAAGGAAGTGAGTGAAACATTCTTTTACTTCTCCATTCTTCTCCTGACTAAATAACTTAGGAACTTGAAGATCATAGAAGTAGCCATACAACTTCCAATCATTGTTTGCATAATAAAACCAGTCCATGTATCTCTAGCTACAGCTCTGGTTTTATGCTTTGAAAACTGCTAAGCCTTTAATTGGAGGTTAGGGTTCTAATACAGTACTGCCATCTTCTCTTAGAAACATGCCTCTGATTTGGGTTCCCACACTCAATTTAGCAGTCTGACAGTAATTCTGCTTCTCCTCCTTCCTCATACATGTAGAAGAAAGATTGGGAAGGTTGTGAGGGTTTTGCTGTTACATTTTGCTAATGGGATTCTGAGCTATGACTTCTAAAATAAATGTCATGCAGAAGTTCTCTTAGCATGGGATGTTTATGAACATTTTAATAAAGATTTTCTGTTCTTTGTAGCATGTGAGCTATATAAGCATGTTAGAGTAGTATTGGGGTGTTCTTTGTGTAACAAATATTTGCAATACTCCAGACAGTTCTATAACTTCAATGTCTAATAGGTAAAACAAAGTAATCTTGTTTTGGAAAAACAGTGGTTAGGAGGTGTTTTAAGAGAAGAGATTCTTCTTCATGTAGTACTTTTAAAAAGTGATTGTGGGGTACAGAAGACCACAGTATCATACATAAATGTTTGGTCACATGAAGTACAAGGAGGTTAGGTAATGCCAGCGCAATACAAAGAAAGTCTGTCCAGTAGTACTGGAATCATTTTTTTGTCTGTTGACCATCTGTTGGCAGCTCTTCACAGGCAAATTACTGCGTAGTATTAACTAAAAAGAGGTGTGTGTTGGCCTCTGGCACTGCTGGTGGTTACTGCATCTGGTAGTGAGAAATAGCTCTTGTGATGAACATAGGCTTATGACACTAAAGAATTCAAAATACTTAGAAGGTTTTGGTTTTGTTGCCTCTTAGGAGCTAGCCAAATTCAGGATGTGTGACTGAAAAAGGGGCTAGTTCTTAAACTGGTGGGCCCTTGGAGTTCAGTAAACCAGATGATAGCCTTGGGCTGTGCAATATCTAATTAGAAGTAACCTGTTGGAATTAATTACTTCAGCATCTCAATTAAGAAGGCAAAATCTGTGGAAGACAACTTTCTGTTGCAAAGTAAAAAAGCTAACTTCAAAGAGCAGGATGGAAAAGAGAATGGTATCATTTGATGCTACTATGTAGCTTTGTTTGGATTTGCCATTTGATCATGCTTCCTTAATTCTATTTCTTTTACTGGAAATACTTTTAAACATTCTCTTCCTATATACTTAAAAAATACTGCTCTCCAGTGTATCATTCAGTGTTGTTCCTCTCTTTAGTCGTTTGTGACCAGGTAAACCTCTACTTCTGATGTCACAAATGTTGGCTATAAGTATGCCCTTTTATTTCCTAGCATTTAAATAACATTCCCTGCTCTGCTTAACACCTTACATGCTAGGCTTGATAGGTTTACAGCTTGTCTACAAACTCCACTTGGTCTTACAGTTTTGCTTTTTCCTTTCCTTTGCAGATTTTGTGTTAGCTATTGTTACAATTTCTAAAGAAGACAGAGTCTATTTCTTTGGTTTTGTTGTAATGCTCTTCATAAACAACCTCATTTTGCTTTTAGGTTTTTTGTGGTAATTTTTGCTGCCAGTGTTGATATACATAACCCAGCAAGAGTGTGGAAAAATTAGCAGTTTTTTGAAATATGACTGCATTGTTTTAAAGGGCTAACAGACTTTCTCTACAGTTTAAGCAAATGTGCTCTCAAGTTAAGCATTTTGATACACAGTAATATATTAACTCTGAATGTGTGTCTCCTTTGTGTGTACTCAGAAAGTGCACTGATGCTTTCCTGCAAAGAAGCACACTTTTGCCATGCCTAAAAGTAGGTGGGGAGGCTGTATGCTTCGCAGGTCTTGTGATCCCAGCTGCTTCTATTTATATGTACTGTGTACTATCTTGGGGCAGGGGAGGAGGAGGGGGAAGGCAGCAAAAAGGAAAAAAATTTTGCTATTTTATGTCATAGTGTGAAATGTATTTCCAAAGTGTGCATGTCTTTACATTTCTTTAAAGATTCTTAAGTATGGTGGCATAAATATCTGTATAAACTGTAGTAAATGTACTATTTGGCAGTAGTTACAGATTTTTAATGCTGATTTTTGTTTTCTAAATTTTTGCATAGGTCTGTAACCAGTGATGAAGGATCCGTGAATGCATTCACAGGAAGGGGGTCACCTGGTAGGGGTCAAAAGACTAAAGTCTGTACCACACCTTCATCTGGTCATGCTGCATCTGTGAAGGATTCAAGCAGCAGATTGCCTGTTACAGACCCCACTCGGCCTGGTGCCACCACCAAAATCACCACCACCTCCACCTACATACCTGCCTCTACACTTAAAGTTAACAAGAAAACCAAAGGGCTCATTGATGGCCTTACTAAGTTCTTTACACCATCACCTGATGGTCGCAGATCACGAGGTGAAGTAATAGACTTTTCAAAGCACTATCGTCCAAGGAAAAAGGTCTCTCAGAAACAATCATGCACTTCTCTTGTGTTGGCTACAGGTACCACACAAAAGCTAAAACCTCCACCTTCTTCACTTTTACCCCCAACCCCCATCTCTGGTCAGAGCCCCAGTTTGCAAAAATTCAGCACTTCCACTTCTTCTAACTCTCTCCAGAGTTCTTCCAGTCAGTCAAGCATACCTTCCTTTAGTAGCTTTCCTAGTAACAGTCAGCTGAAGGGACTGTTTGATGGACTCTCTCATATCTATACTGCTCAGGGACAGTCTCGCAAAAAGGGACACCCAAGCTATGTGCCACCCAAGCGTTTGCCTTGTAAACCAGAGTTATCTTCCACGCCAAAATCTATTAGTCATTTCTTTGGACAGAAGGAGGTTAGAAGTAAGTTTATTTCTCATGCCTGTACCTCTGGATGGGGTGTGTCTAGAGGACGTGCTATTAAAGCAATTGCTCACCTCAAGAGAACAACTTTCCTTAAAAAGCACAGGATTCTAGGCAGGTTAAAGTATAAAGTGACCCCTCAGATGGGGACGCCCTCACCAGGGAAGGGGAGCTTGGCAGACGGAAGGATTAAACCTGATCAGGATGATGGTAAGCAAAGGTCAAAGCGCCAACCAAACCTGCGTCCCATCCAAAACCAAAATTCTTATATTGTCACATAGGTCTTAGCTATTTCTCTTGTTCTTACTTCACTTCCATCCAAAAGCAATGAAACTTTGACCTTGTATCTAATGCTGACTAAATCTTAAACACGTTTGTTTTTTGGTTGTTTTTTTTTTTTCCTGACTAATACCACACCACCTTTTTTTTTATTTTTTGCATCTGTAGTGACACTAGGAGCCCCAAATGCCTTCATAATGTTGCTTATGGCTGTGTAGTACCGCATGAGTCACTACTTTTCATGCTACTTCCTTGTTTGTCCCCTGCCCTTTTTCTGGCCGTAGTGCTGTCATCCTGATTGTGTGCTGTCAGTGCTTATAATGGTGGTCATTTCAATTCATATCCTTCTGCTCCATTGCTTTTTCATGAACAATTCCATCCTGCTACAGTCTCCACAACACTTGGTCTGTACTGCTGTGGACTACCTTTTTAGTAATTACTTTGAGAAGAAATATAATGCTTGAATGTAGACTTAGCTTAGCATTGCTCTCCAACTTATAAGGGCAACTTTTTTTTATCTCTTTTGTTTTTTCTTTTATTTTTCCCTTGTTAGAGTATAGTGGAATTTGTCAAGTGGCATAGTTCTAGTGATAGAATATACTCTTATTTCATGAGGTTCAAAACTATTTTGGTAGAACTGGACTGTAAAGGCTTATACAGACAGACAAGCAAGTACCAAAAATAGCTCATGCAACAGCAAACTACAAAACAAGAGGGGGGAAGGTTTCATTTCTGTTACTTAGTAATCCCAAATTTAATTGAAATGGGGAGTCATAGCAGCCGTAGTTGCTGCAACCCTATTTAGGATATAACTTTGGTAAGGCATATGTAACCTTCATGTCTGTGAATAAACTTTTTGCTGGTTTTAAATAACAGATACTGAAATCAAACTAAGCATCAAACAAGAAAATACGGATGTATTTCTCATGGGAACCAAGGACAGTGTTACACAGGAGGATCTGGAAGTATTTAAGCAGGCTCGAGAACTTTCTCTGGAGGTAAGAATCATGCTGCATAAAATGTACTTATTTCTGTAAATAAAAACTGTTCATTTTCATGTGTCTCTCAATCTTCTTTTTTAATGTATTCCTTTTGATCTAATTTGTAATGTCTGCTGTGAATTTAACTTGGATGACTGTATATACAGTTGCATTCTCCTAGATGGTAGCAAGTCATCACACTGGAATGGGTCAGATGATAAGTGCCACTTGAGACAGATTTTTGAAAGATATACTTGAGCATTTTGGGTGCAGGACTACCACTGGTGAAGCATGGAGATGAAGAATAGCTGACGTCCTGGTCAGGACTGAGAGGATGTTGGTTCGTAAGAATGTGCCTGATGATTCTCCTCTGGATAAAGCAGCCACTGTGGAAAGCTAATACTGCTGTATTTTTCCCTAGACCTTTCTTCCTTTTTTGTATTTTGCCAGTTCTTTTTTGTCTAGCAGTCATTTTCTGATCAGCTTAACTTCAATATGATAACAGATATTAGTTTGTGTTAGCATACTGTTGACTGTTATGACGTAAATTCCAAGGACTCTAGAAGGCTTCTGCTGATGCCTTATCCTTCATTGTTTTGACAAAAGGACAGCTTTGAGTTTGAACCAGAACTGCAGAGAAGTCCTTGAATTAGATGCTGCAGAAGAAGAGAAGGGAGGTAGTTTTGCCTCTGGTTTGTCTGGGCCATGCACCACCTATTAGTCTGTGCTTACTTGTAAGCACTGCTCACTTAACTTCACATTTAGTCCTTTGGCACCCTGAAAGAAATTTTCACTGTTTATATTTGACTATTTGCAGGTTATGTCCTCTCTCTATCCCAGGTAGAAGAACTGAGCAACTGATTTGAATACTTCAGGTTTCATACACTTTCACTGGATGAAACTGATAATTTAAAGCTAACTTTCCTTCTACTTTTTCTATAATATTTTGCTTTTGTTGCACCTGACAGAAAATTGGTTGCAAAAACACTGGTGAAACAAGTGGGCGATATCCTTCAGTGATTGAGTTTGGAAAATATGAGATCCAGACCTGGTATTCTTCACCTTACCCACAGGAATATGCAAGGTAGCAAGTTGTCAAGATTCATACATTATTGGATTTTTTGCTAATGTGATAATTGTAATTTAATTTCTTACTTTTTGTAATTTTTTTTATAGTTTACAACTTTTAAAGTAAGTATGCTTTTGTATTCATGTGAGAACAAGGATTTCTCTTTTATTTTAATAGTTCTAATCAAAGATGCATTTTAAAGACTGATTTTCCTACTCCTGTATAAAAAGTCTTGCAGTGTGTATTGATACGGTTTTGTTTGTTTTAACTGTTGCAGCCACGTGTGTTCAACTTCTGGCCATTTAGAGCAGTTAATCTTGTTTGTCATCCAGAATTTGTTAACCTCCTTTTTCTAGGGACCAGAGAGAAGTCTGAGTATGCTAGGGAAATAAATTCAAAGTGAGCAAGTTGTGGCAGCAGTATCTTGTTTCTGTCCTCCTTTGCTAGGGTGTACCTCAGAGTCTGGCAGAGAGCTATTTTAACTATTTTATTTAAGTTGCTTTTTTATTCCCTCAATTTATATCATTTTGTGAAAGAGAGAGCTACCTGTTCCATCAAGCAAACTAATTCCAGATAGAGGCATAATGCTGGGTAATTATTAGTAGGAGGCAACAATGGGATGGCATCTGTAGGAGGCAGTGTGGTTCTTGGCTCTGAGTGCATTAGGATTATGTCATGGAACAAACAGTTCAACTTTTTATATTGTTGATAAACTTCCTTAGAATACTGGAGTAGTGTAAACCGTGGCTATGATCCCAGCATGATCCCAGGATGTGCCAGTATCTTTAGAGCAGATAAAGATTGTCCTCTGTTCTAAAACATTGTAGACTAATGAATTTCTGCAGCAGTCTTCTGCTGCTTCAGGAATTTAAAAATGAAGGTAAATAGCCTTAAAATTCACAGAGAGAAGTGGTTTCTGATATGTAGAACACTTGCCAGCATTGTCATACACAGGGCATGTGGGTTACTCATAGTCAGAACTGAATCCTGCCCAGAGGATTATGATCATCTTTGTTGCCTGGAGATGTGTAGAGGTGAGACTCAGCCAGTCTGCAAACTGGATAGGCTTCTGTGCTCAAGTGAAGTGATAGTTCAGATGGAGGTGAGGGAGTACTATCCTACAGTGTGCTGTCCCACCCAAGCATTTGGAAGACAGTGGAAAGAAAAATAATCTCCTAACCTTCCCCACGTACAAAATAAGGAAAACTAAAGGGGATGAGATTGCCTGTATTTTGCTGTGTGCCTCCTTTGTCTTTACTGGAAGAAGAAGGGTGAATTTTGAGGTATGAATCCTGGTGTCTGCTTTGATGGAGACCACAACAAAAGGCCAGGTGTAATGTGGAGGGGGAAGTAAATGGGATTTACCAGAGGCTGGACCACAAAACAGCTGACCACAGTCCAAATCTGTTGAACTAGATTCACTGTGATGCACAGAATCTGATCTTTTCTTATCTTCCTGTTCTAATGGCTAATATGTGTATGCTTAATCATTCACTTTTAATGTATTTATTTAAACATAAGCAGCATCTACTTATGGTACCTTATATTTAAATGGGGAGGGTCTTTCACTTTGTGGTAACTATTTACAGAATTTAACAAATCCTTTATATAAAATATCTTTCTAATTTTCATACAGATTACCAAAGCTTTACCTGTGTGAATTCTGTCTTAAATACATGAAAAGTAAAAATATTTTGTTACGGCATTCAAAGAAATGTGGCTGGTTTCATCCTCCAGCCAACGAAATCTACAGAAGAAATGACCTTTCAGTGTTTGAGGTACGTATGTGTTAAAAAAAAAAAAAAAAAGGCAACTTCTGAAAGTTACCAGTTGTAGAGCTAGTGATAGTGCTAGTGAAAACTTTAAACATACTTATATACTCCTTGGAGATTGTTCTTATACTGCAAAACCAAATCTGTCTTCCCTGTTCTGTTCTGCCCTGCCATGTTCTCTCACAATTCTTAATTTCTTTACTTGTACTTCGTGTGTTAGCCAGCCCCTTAAGGTACTTGTGTATAGTGTGCATCTTGGATGGGGACTGCAATGGAAGCCCTTTGACTGAATTGCCTTTCCCTTCTCAGCAGAAGTACCTCTTTCACCCATTCATTTCTGGTGATTTTGAGTCACTGGGGTGATGGAAGAACCCTAATCATAATGTGGATACCTCCAGTGTATAAAAGCAAGCAGTTTCTTGTGTATTGTTCTAAATATAAAGATACCTCCAGTGTATAAAAGCAAGCAAAGAAGTTTCTTGTGTATTGTTCTAAATATAAAAACATAGCTACTAAGTGCTTTTGCATTCCTTCCAAGTTAAGAAAGTTGCCCTGAAACATCCTGGTCAGGTGACAGAGGTTCAGTCCAGTTTGAGCTAGAACACACTGCCTTGAATTTATAAAGTCCAGAATTGAGCTTGTGGATATTTGTTCTTTTTTAATTTAAATTATTCTTTTGGGAGACTGCTTCTTTTAAAGTCTGATGTTTTAAGGATATCCTGAACAGCACAAATTCTGTGTTTCAAAGAGCATACCTGCAGTTATTAAAGCTATGCATTAACCTCCACATTCCTATTTCTCAAGAGTTGTTACCAATTGTATTAACAGAAGAGACTGCTGAGGTTACTAGAACCTCTTTTGAGGTTGTTTCTCAACAACAATATTTAGATATTTATATTGGTAATTTCTTTTAAATTGCAGGTATGGTTTCTACTTGAAACTTGTTTTCATATTGTATAAATGTCTTTTGTTCTTAGTCATTGCCATTATCTCTTCAAACAATGGTAGATGCAGTCTTGAAGTGCTTAAATTAGAAACAGATCTTAATATTTGGTCCACTTGTTTGGTTTTGTGCTATTTAAAAAAAAACAAAAAAAAGCTATCTGCATCCAAATGGCTTCCTTCCTGACTTGGGCAGTTTTTATAAAGATTGTAGGTCTGCCAGCAAAAGACTTAAGTTGTAAACAAACTTAACTCTTTTCCTATCAAGAAACAAAACTGTACTAGTCAGTCCACAATAACTTATTTTCTCTATTAGTAGGTATTAGGAATTGTGCACCATACTGCACAAACATACAAACACAAACAACATACATACACACACAAACAGCAAATCCTGTTTTCCAGTTTATTTTCATTAGCTACTGCCAGCATGTGAATAAAAACTTATTTAAAAACTAAAGTAAAATACAGGTCTGAGAAGGGGAGTGGGGAAGTGGAGGGTTAACACAAAACATATGGAGTCAAGAAGCATGTGAAAGCGATGCCCAAACTCTTCTCCACTGCTTCATATTCCCTTTATTTTAGGTGCTTCAATAAGCACTTGTGTTAATACTTCTGAAATAAAGTGGGGGGGTTTATTTTGAAGGTTGGTGTCAGTTGTTACTCTGATAACTGTAGAAACTTACTTACCAGTTGTTGTACTAAAAGATAATTTCAGGAATTCTGTGCAGCCATTTTCTGTTAGAATGAAGGGTTTGGGGTTTCTTTCTTGCTTTCTGTTTCTGAGAGACGTAGAAAGGAGTTTGGCATTTAAGATTTATGTACCCCTGCTGAAAGCGTGACTTTGTCAGATTTGAGAGAAGATTTTGACATAGCTTACTGCTGTGCTGTAGGAAGACACTTCAGACAGATGCTTGCTTTTGAACTTGCAGTCCCTTTTTTTTTTTTTTAAACTCTTGTTGCAGTTAAAACTGGTAAGTTGTGTTTGCCTGAAATTCACATTACTGTACAAATGTTCTTACTGAAAAAGATAGCTAACATAATTTGAGTTTTGAGGCTTATGGCTTACCCAGTGATGATTTCTACTTGCTTAATGTTTGCGTTTAATTTGCACACTTGCTAATAAGCATGGAGAGAAATAAAAAGCATCTGAACAACAGAGTGAGTTGTATGAGAACTTAATGTGTTTGATAGGTTCTTGAATGCTGTATGCAGGTTTATCCTGATGACTTCAGGAGCTGTAGCTGTCCATTAAATGCTTTTCTTTAATCTGGATAATGCAGCTGTACTACTGAAGTCACCTTGCAATCCCTAAATACATCCAAAAAGTTGTGTTTTACTCAGATTTGTAACTAGGATTCTTAACTAAGGCCAAATTAGAATAGAATGTGACTTCCTTTTAAGCACAGTGTGCATGCCATTTGATTGTCTCTGTGGATGAAATACACTAGTGACTTTACCAAAGAACATCAGTACAAGCAAACCTTTCCATTAAGATGATTATTTCAAAAATGCTGTTGCCTTTCACTGAGCCTTCCCTTTCAGGGAGTAACTAATTGATCTAGGAAATTGCATCTCTGTCTGGCTTTTCTATAGCTGTCGGCATCACAGCTTGAATCTTTACACTCTAACATACCTAGAATAATTGTAGTACTTAGCCTGAAAATTTACTTCTTTCACTCAAAAACATTTTGGTCTGGCATAGAAATTTTGTCTTGTCTAATTTAATTAAAACATTGCTGCGGTTGAGACGTAATTGGCAACACATTCATTGGCCTTACACCTTAAGAAGTCAACATAATACACTTCAATGTTTTGGGGTTTATTTTATTTGTTGTACACCACTGCCTTCTACCAAACCATATTTTAATGTAGCTTTAAATAGTACATTTTTGTTTGGCAGTCATATTCCTTTTCATTCCAGGTTAGTCTAGTCTAACTTGAACAATTAAGAGGTCAACTTTGCTTAATAAATCTGGATGCTTGGGGGATAATTACAAATGCAAAGTAATTGGTACTAATGGGAGAATTCTTACCTAGCAAGAAGCTGGGGCATTTCTCTTCTGAACCTTAACATGTTTTTTTTTCCTAAACACCATATTGTTCTTATTTCTTTCTGGGATATGATTGATTCAGTAAGTTGTTTTGTCCTAACATGTTGGTGTCATTGGAAATAACTGCATCTGTCTTGCTTTGTAGGTTGATGGAAATGTGAGCAAAATTTACTGTCAGAATCTTTGTTTGTTAGCTAAGCTCTTTCTGGACCACAAAACCTTGTATTACGATGTTGAACCATTCCTCTTCTATGTCCTTACAAAAAATGATGAGAAAGGCTGCCATTTAGTTGGATATTTCTCTAAGGTAAAAAATAAAAAAGTGCTTTTTTAACATTTATAATTTCCTGCTCTCTTTAATGCTTGTACCAACAGCAAAGAAAAACCATTTGGAAGCTTGAAATCTTGTCTGTAAATCTCAATTATAATGTGCATTGTCTTGCATACACTCATACTTCCTTATCTCAAAGACTGATGCAAATTGAGAAATTCTATGTGCATTCAGCCACATGCTTTGGGATTTTTTTTCTTTTTTTTTGGTTGGTTTGGGTCATTTTTTATGTTTTTTTTTGTTTGTTTGATTGTTTGGTTTGCTTCCAGGATGTGTTATGATTTCAGCTGAAAATTAAATCTTTTTCTGCCCTCTTCCATTGCTGCAATAGTATAACAGGTCTAACTTCTAGAAGTGCTAAGTATTTGAAATGTTGATTTGTTCTCATGGTTTTACTGCTAAAAGTTCCAGCTGACTATTGAGACACAAATGTTCATCTACTGTGTACAGTCTGATCTAATGCAGTTAGTCATTGCACTGAATGTAAGAATGCATTGCCTAACTTCATGGTGGGTGCCTTTGGTGTGAAGTGCAGTTAGATGTGCTTGCAGCAAGAAGAGCTTCCAGTATTGTCCATAAGAAATGTGATGAATTGGAAGTTACTCAGAAGTCCAGTACTTCTTGCCCCTCGTATCACCACCTCCCATTGCCTATATAATTTTCTTTCTTTAAGAAGTGATTTATATGAAGACAGTATTTTGAAGTTGTCTAAAAATCTTGTGAGAGTACCTGCATATTAAACAGTGATCTTTTGAGGATGTGGCCAGTTCCTTCTGAGATGTAGGCCTCGCTGGGATTAAAGTAACAGTGAGATGTGTAGGCACAATTTGTGCTCTCTTACATCAGTAGGAAGTTCTTGCGGCATACAAACATCTCAACTCTGATATAGGAAAATATTTTCTAGATTTATTTAAGATACTGCAAATGTTAAGGTGAGTCCCTCTTGATGTTTGTTCCTTCTTTTAGCAAGGATGCATTTTCTTCCCCTGCTCCACCCCTGTATGTTGTATCTGATGACCACAAAAGTTTAAGTTAAATTTTGGGGAAAAAAACTTCATCTCATATTATTTCCGTGATTCAGTTTACTGAAGTGCATGTATTGTCTTGCTGCCCTCCACCACCCCACCCCTTTTGATTTTTTTGGTGGTTTGTTTTTTTGGATTTTTTTTGGTTGGTTGGTTGGTTTAGTTTGTGTTTTTTTAATGTCTGTGTGCATGTTTCTGTTCTTGCTGACAGAAGTGCTCTGCTTTTCTTCTGCGATTACAAATATATTACCAGGTTGTGAACTTCATAATAGCAGTCTTCAGAGTTTGGGAAGCCTGTACATAGAAAATATTTCACCATACCATAGAGACTAAGAAACCTTGTGAAATACTGCTCGGGTATCTGCTCTCTCAGCTCAAGAAATGTTTGGAAACCAATGTCCTGGCATGTGATCCTGTCAGTGTCATTACTGATCAGGTGTCATGTGTGGAGGCTGAAGTGATAGGTGGTGTATTAAACTACACATGTACTTGGCACAACTTCTTGTCAGTGGATATTTTTGATTGATTCATTTGGTCTCCCTCAAAACTGTCTAATGCTAATTTGAGGGGGTTTGTGTGTGTGTAGTCTATTAAAGGTAACAAGACTTCAAGGTTTTTCCTTTTTACCAATAAAATGGAAAAAAATCCTCATAAGCTTATTAGAACAGCTTCCTGGGTTAGATTCTTCCTTCTGTTGTCTTAAACAGTCAGTGTGATACTTGTCTCCATTACCTGTATATGACTTTATTCTGTTAGAAGGAGCTGTGGCTTCTGAGCCTTCTGCCTTGATTTGGATTCAGATGAGAAGCATGCAGCTTTGTAAAAGTTAGTACGCTTCAAGTGTGTCTTCTTAGTTTTATGGGTATGGGGTTCCTCCCCTCCACCCTGGCCCCATAGTCATTCAGAGAGAAGGCAAAGCCAGCAGGCACTTAGTGTACCATCTGCAGAAAACACAACTTTACCATGTGTTTGCATGTTATTGTCCACTTCTGTATCCTTGACAGAATGGCCAGTGATGCATGAAAATATTTCCCTCTTGTGATTCTCCTGCTTTACAGCATTTAAACTTCATTATGTGTTTGATTTTTAAGATACTGAGTAAATAATAAAGAAACTAATGAATAATATTTTGAAATCTGTGTTTGATACTACTTCCTTATGATTAAATACTAACGTGGAGTATTTGACTTTGGTACTGACCCAGTGCATCTGTTCACCTTATTGGGTTATTTTACAAGGACACTGACAGGTGCAGGCAGTTGTCCACTTCAGCAGGGCTTTGACGAACTTGATCTGTTTCTCCTTCCCACAGGAAAAGCTTTGCCAGCAGAAGTACAATGTCTCGTGCATAATGATCATGCCCCAATACCAAAGGCAAGGATTTGGAAGGTTTCTCATTGATTTCAGTAAGTGAAGTGTTTTATTTACACTTGTGATTCAGGGAGCTGTTGGCTGTTACAAGAAATAGTAACATATGAAACTTTATTTAACTTGCTTTGTTGTTTTTATCAATAGATAATGGCATTTCTGTTTATGTTTATATAGGATAGAAAAGCTCCCTGAAGTGAAAAACTTACTGCTGCTCTGTTATTGTACTCAAGGAAATTGAGAATGAATCTCTCAGCAGTAATATTAGCTCACAAAGCTATTATCCTGAATAAATTGTCTAAATGACTTTCCATTTTGCCTTGCTCATTAGTATAGGAAGAGGCAATTATTTGTGATTATAGCTAAGAAGATGTTAGTCCAAGGCTTTCTCTACATATTTCTAACTTATATCTTCTTTTAGCTAAAATACTGTTTCAGCTGAAGAATTACCACACAGGAAGAAAGTATTGTGTTTTTTGCCTTGAAGTTCATCAATTCCTTAGTGGAAATTGTTACCAAAAAACCCCATAGGTGCTCCTGGCTGTATATATGTTCTTGCTGCTTTGTTTTCCTGAGCTGTCTGACCCATTAGCTTCAGGCATACTATACAAAACTGTCCAAAGAAACGTCTCAGCTGAGGGATTCAGTAGCACTGCAAACAAAGTTTCTGCTTTAGTTCAGAGAAAGGATGATAAGGAATTTGTGTATATTGTATGTGGTTAGTTTTCACTGTTGCTTATGATTTTAAAAGCACTGTGGAATCACGTAATAGAGACAGTTAAGATATTGGGATTCCTGTCCTGAAGGTGTATGCAAAAATATTAAAATGCAAAAGATAATATTGCATTATAACAGCAGGACAAAGGCAATAACTTGTAACTTTAGAGCTTTCAAGCTCTGTGTCTTGTAGTGTTCCACCCAGCATGACTACACTAGAGCTCATAAAGATACTTGGTATGATCACTGTGTGGCTTTATAAGCAGTCTTCACCTTACTGCTATGAGTTAGGTAAGGATGAATTAAGTTCACCATTGAAATGTCACCATCTCTGGAGCAGAACACAACAGCTGTTCTGTTGTGTACCTTCTGCAACCTTTTAGGAAACTATGGAGTGAATTTTACACTCACTTGGGTAGAAATTTGCCCTGGTTTAGGGTTAAACTCTTGCAAAAGGACATGGGGAATTCTTACTGGGTACAACTGGTAAGTACTTCCAGGCTTTTTCATTTTTTTTTCCTCTGTGATGTCTTTCAGAAGAAGCACTCAACAAATGCTTTTCTGGTTGAGGTTGCAATAATTACATTAACAAAACTGATGGCACAGCTATGAAACCTGTGGATTACACAGAAGGTCTGGGTGTGGGTATGCTCTGGATCTATGCTCTGATTTGCTGCTGTGTGCTACTTAATCTAGAAAAATCCAGAAGCACATGGGGTTGTCGGCTCATTAGGATTTCTGTGATAACTTGCAATGTGACCTAATGGTATTGTTAGCTTGAAGCTTGTGTGGTGCTGTTCTTATGCCTTTGCTCTTTACAGATGCGTTCATATCACAGGTGTAGGCTGCAGCTGTGTATGTGCTGAGCATACTCCAGGCACCAACTTTAGATTATGCTGTAGCTAGCAGAACTGCCCACTTCATGAGCACGCACTAGTCCTTCAGTACCTTTCTACAGTGTTTTTCCTTTTGTTTTCTGGACTGAGGTTCCCTTAACTAACTGGAAATCAGATTGTCTCTGTTTCCAACAGTATTAAGAACCAAGAGATGACTGAGAGTCTACAATCTATAGTGAATGTGAGGTGCAAACTAAATGAAAGTTACTGAGAGAACTGCTTGTGGCTGGTTTTCCCTAGGTGTAGAAAGCAAGGTAAAACTTCAAGGGTTGTTTCCTATGTTATATTTCTAGGCATTTGAGGATGGTGGCTGAATACCATTTAATTGGGCAGCCATAGCCTCATCTGCATTAGTGAGCCCAAAAAGTGTCTTTGCACCAAAAAAAATTAAAAATAAATTACTTGGTTTTTTTAGTATTTCACTGGTGTTTCTATCTCCTATATTGTAGTTGACTGCCTAACGTCATCTTTTTCACTCTTTCTCTTCACTTGTGGTCTCCTAAGTTGCTCTAACTGGCATGAGGAGAAAAACTCAGTTACTAAACTGAGGTTTTTCTAAACTTGAACAGAGAAAGTTCATCATAGTTTATTTTTTTTTTCCCCAGTAACATTATCTAGATTGTCATGTTCTCGTAAAGTTACTGGAAGATAAATTTCATGCTCTGAATGTTAAAGTCTTCATTTGTTATGCAGGTAACGCATCTAAACTGCTTTATTTTGAATTCTGTGAAGCAGTCTCTGGTAATTGTCTTTTTTAGAACAGTAATCAGAATAGTTTTTACACTAAAATAATAAACATGTAACCAAGCAAGTAGTTTTCAGAAAACAGTAGTTACAAACCACAAAAGGGAAGGTCTCAAGCAATGTGTCCAAGCAGTTGACTGCTCACATTACTTGCATACATCTAGACACTTGACAGTTAGAAACGCTGGAAAGAACGTAACCTGAAGCCACTACACAAATTTTGCTTCATCAGCAGTCTAGTGAAAACATAGTTTGTGGAACAGAATTTGCTTCTTTTTTTCATAAGTGAAATGTATTTGTTCAGATTGTCTTGAACTAATTTAATCTTTACAGATGAGTCAGTGTGGTCATCCTGTAATTTGCAAGGGAAAAACAGTCTTTTATTTTGCTAAAAGAGAAGTAAATATTTCTTTTCTGATTGTCTTTTTTTTTTCCCAGCTTTTCATTAAGTATGTAAACTTACCTATATTCAAAATACAAACTGCTAATACTGTTATTTTTTACTCTGTAGACACCAACATAAAGCTGTGTGTAAGGTCTATTTCTTAAGGAAGATAGAATCTCACTTGTGGAAAAAAAGATTTTTAGGAAAAGTTATTTTAACTTTTGTGAGAAGAAAATGGACTATAAAATTCCTGATTTCTCTAGTCTGCTAATCTTCAGTAAAAATTTTGTTTGTAGTTTTCTGTATTTTAAATATATATATATATTAAAATACAATATAGATGTCTGTATTTGTTCTGTTTCTTAATC